AACAAAAATAGGTCAAAATACATTCCATAAAGACTTGTCACAACAATCACTAGATAGTCGCTGGAAAAATCAATATATCGATTGATCGTAGCCCACAGCTGCCAACAAAGTTTTGCACATCCAAAGCGTACTCTCAAAATTTTTCTTCTACAGTTCTGTTCCTCCGTTTTTTCTAAGTTCTTCTCATTGGATCCTTATAGTGCAGACACACTCTTTATACTCCAGTCCACGCCAATCTTCTTCCATTCGTCCATCCCGACCATAGATGAGGATTTTGTTGTCGACGGCGCGTTTTCGTCGCCCTAAGCGATCGCCAAGCGTCCCTCTACCTATCGGATTTCCGCGCTCTATTGTCAGAAAGACACGAGCACTTCGTAGTATTTGATCCAGGCGTCGCGAAAATCAAATCCAGGGGAGGGGCCGGAAGGGGGAGTAAAAACCTGTCCTACAGATCATAGTTTTGGTAAAGGTGATTACGCAAACAAATGAAGACTTCGAGTGTTTTGGCTGGGTAGCCTGGGGACCAGTTCTCGCTTGAAAGAAAGCACCATAGCAAACAAAAGAACCATAAATTGCTTAAGAAACTGTAATCATTATTTCAGTATGCACACGACAAGCTCCACCAGTAATTCTACAAGATTCCATGGGCGATACAGTAGCGTTACTTGGACAAGATGTAGACTTCACCTGCAAAGTGGACAATCTTGGCAAGCATATGGTACTTAGGGATTTTTTTGATTGTTTTCCACTGAAGACCTCAATCTTCCAGGTAGCCTTCGTTCGAGCTAGTACACCACCGAGGTTAATTTCATTTGATGAAAAGGTAATTGCTTGAGAATGAAGTAGTTGGACTTTAGAGTGTTTCTTCGTAGATTTGGCCATGTTTCCTAAGAAATGAACTAACAACTAGGTTTGCAGATTTTTCGACAGAAAGACAAATACGAGTTGAAGCCAAAGATGGGTCCGATGAATAACGAGTGGATTCTCACGGTTAAAAATGTGCAGGTCAGTTCAGTCAAAGATTTTTGAGTTTGATCAGTGTGCAATTTTGAAACCGTAATTTATGTGAAGGACAATCACCATTCGAAAATGAATGAAAATGCTTGGTTTCTCACTTTTTCCTTCGTTGACATGGAGGATCAAAAACAAGCAAAAGCTTAGTTTTCTCTTATGTTCTTTCGAAAAAAAATAGAGGATAAAATATATTTGTAATCACTCAAACAACTAATGAAACATTTGAAAAAATAATTTCAAAGGTGTTTATCCATCTTTCTTATTTTTGACTACAGATGATGGTCTTCTTGCCAGTTCTTGGTTCCTTATTTGTAGTTCGGTATCCCAAAAAAACTCGAATTGTTGGATAAAAATAATCTCTTCGATTTCGGATTACTATCAAAGTTTTCTTATTACTTTCTATCTAAGGAAACTGACCGTGGCAATTACTCATGCCAAGTCAACGCTGATCCAGTGTTGAGCTCAACAGCTGAGCTGGATGTCAAAGGTACGCAATCTTTCAAATCCCTCAGCTCTTTATTTAAAAAATAACTTTATTTTCGATGAAATTAAACTTATGTCACAAGAATTTACTATTTCTGATACATAAAGTGATTCTGCTTTCTGTAAAATGTAGAAGATAGATTTTTCGATATACTCGAAGAGCTAAACAAAGAAAACTTAAGACTTTGTTTATGTGCTGTAGAAACCGTAAATTATATTGCTTTAAGGGAACTTGCACCTCAAATTTCATCTTGAATTTACTCCTCAGTTTTTTTACGCTTTTGAAAATTTGAAGTATTTTGATGAAAACCCGGATGAAACAGTTATTGGAAGTCTTTCCTTTCTTACTAGCCACGATTTTTTCGGAAGCAAATAAGGTTTCGTGGATTTGGTGCACTCCTATAACTGCCCCTATCAATCTTATAATTATTACTCCAATTACCGTATCGGTCACCTCCTCCCCCTCACTCCCACCACCTTCGCGCCCACATCATGCGTAGGAACAAATAATCCATCTGATTCATCCATTCATCCAGATATCTTCGGGCTGCACTCTGTCAGAGAGCTATATGGGGGGCCAATCTGCATCGACGCCCCCATTGTTCTGGCAAAAAAATTCGCGGTGCTGCTCTATAGCTCTACGGATGTCGTCGTACTGCGTATCGCGATTTCCATTAGCATGCAAATCGCGGTGGGCGCGATAAATCAGCGCCAGATAGACGTGCTATCACATCTCGACTGGCATATGGTGGCTGTCGACCAAATTTCCTTCACTGAAAATGGGGCCCGTTTCAGTATAGGGCTGTAGCTAGGCTATTTTATGCGTATTGATCGAAGATAGAGCACTCAAATTTTCTTAAGAAATTGTTATTGTGCGTTAATTAGCGGGTTGACTGTTGTTGTTATGTTGCGCTGTGGAATCGATGTGTCACAAAGATAATAAGGTTGCAACAGCTTATTAGTGTTAATTAAGTGTTGCGCAGTTCCTGATGGGACAGCTTTGGCCCAAAAATAGGAGTTTAGGGCTGGGAATGACCGACAGCAATCAAATGAATTTTCACAACATTTGAGAAAAGCTTTTCCTATATGCAACTACAGAAGATTCAGTTACAAGT